GTTTGTCATTATTAAATTTACCTTTCGAGATGGAATCTAAATTATTTTCTACCCCTCATTTGGTTAATATTTCACTTTAAGAGGGAAAAATGGTACAACAGCTTCAGATTGCTTGTATCTTCCTATTTTTCATCTAAAACCAAAGAAATCTGACAAAGTCTTTTTAGGGCTTACCAATTAAAACTACATGAGCTTTTACATACAATTCATGAGATACAGCAGCACGTATACTAACACTTTTGATATTATTGGTAATGTATGGGACAAAACAGCCTGGACTTGTTCTTTATCCGAAATGTGGCGTATATAAATGATGTGTATGTTATTGTAACCTTGATTTTGATGGATATATTATGAGACGAAGAAATCTATTGCAAGAATGACTAATTATTTTGCTACTCAACTGTAAATAGTACTTATTATTGAGCAAATAAAACTGAAGTTGAATTATATTAAAAGTCTCAGTTGTTCAAGTGTACATCCATGCCTAATTCTGTTTTCTGTTCTTGAAAAATGCTACGAGTATGTGAGAGAATTGTTCTGATTAATGGTATAAAATATGTATGCACAAATAAACCTATAGCAAATTAGTGACCCCATCCCCTTCTTTCTATCTCTGTCTTGTGTTCTTTCTATAATTTTCTCACCTTTCTTTAAAGGTAATACAAAGTTTTGGGTAATTTTGAAAATTGGGTGGATAGTGATTCTTTACAATTTTGATATATTTGGATGCCCCTGGGGATGTATTGTAAGCTCTAGAAAATTTAGGCCCTAAAACAATTCTGCTTCCGAGACAAATTTGATGTAAGAATTTACCGGTGCTCCCGGTAAATTTTGATACATTTCAAATGGCGCTTATACGGCCGTAAAATGGTGATATAGAATTTCCAAACGTGAATGGTACAATCGGTCGATTTTAGTCAAGAAACATTGTTTTATAGCTTAATTAATGTCTTGACCTTGAGAGGGAGCTATACAACAAAAAGAGTTTATTATTGAAAATTGTATAACTTTAGACTCGATTTCAACTACGACAACGATCACTGAATATTGTAGGATCGCATATGCTTCCAATATGTTCGTTGAACCAATTCATGACCCCATACCAAAACTTTGTATTATTACCTTAAAGCTCTCTCCGCTCTCTCTCTCTCTCTCTCTAATTCTCTCTTCTCGATCAAGCTTTCTCTCTTTCCGATTGTTTATCTCCCATGCTTTCTCTCTCTCTCTCTCTCGATCTATATGCCTCTCCCTCTCATTTCGTTCCTGTTCATGTACCAAAAGCTGTAGCTCTATAATATTGATCATCAAACTTGGATACACTGTTTATTTTTATTGGGGGGGGGGGGCGGGGTAAAAACCATTTCTGGTCTTCTTTATTTCCTCATAATATAATCGTTTTCACATGTTCAGCATTTGCCTCCATTTCTGGAGGGATATACATGGTTTTCTAATATTTTCTTCTATCTGGAAACGATAATTCAATAGGTAAAACAAAATATAAAGAAATCTCTGTTTTCTTTTATTTTTAAATTCTTTTCCAACAAAGCTTTTTTTGAATACTGAAAAGTGCATAATTAAAAATAATATCAACATCTTTTTTCCTCTTTGAATTAAAATCGATACCAAACAATAGATGACGTGGTTCGAAATTAAAATTAGACACAAAATATTTCTTTATATTCTTTTCAACTTCGATCTTTACAAAACTTGATGACTTCATATACAAGAAAAGAACATATGCATACAATCACCTGGTTGATTACAATAATAACATTGCTCAGGGGCATTTACTTTCCATATTTTAAACCAATTATTTGGCATTGCCAAAATATTGTACATGAACTTGAAAGTAAAATTGATCAGTAAACTGTCTTTTATACATTTTAGCTTAAATATCCAATCTTCCGACCATGCGAGTGAATACATTCAATATTTTGTTCTCCACCTTTTTTCAAATTTGGTTTTCCTTTTTTAAAGAATAATAATAGATTATACTAGTTCCAAAACTGTTTTTTTTTTAAATAATATCAAATGTGAATGGAAACGCAAATTCCAAAGCGCATGCTCTAATTGACATTGAACAAACGCATGACATATGTTATGTCCAAAAATTGCTACTTTGTGATCCTAGCCCTCTATCTCTTCGTACAATAAGGTTTATGGCTATATAGGCTACGAATTTGTTCTCCTTTTCAATTGTACGATTTAAAGACACTGTTGGCTCAACTAATGGAAGAAATCTATTTGTTGACAAGTATTTATTTTACTTGTTGTCAAATAAAGACAGCCACCATCCAACTTTACAACCATGCGGGTATTTTGAGCAACGTTTCTGGAAACCATGTCAAGTAATTATTGTTATCTAAAGAGCGCGTACTGTTTTTAAAGTTGAGCAACTGAATCAAACCTTTCTGGTGATATGGCGCCCAATATCACACAATTATTAATAAGAAAAAAAATTCTGTTACAGATATGTAGAACTGTGTATTAGAAAGAAGACATAGGATGGAAACGGTTATTTAAAATTATACACTGACGGATCTAAACTAGACGACAAAAGCGCTGAAGCTGCTTTTTATATACCAGAATTGGGCATAACAATAAGTTATGTTTTCATTCAAACATAATATAGTTGCATGACCCTGGAGAGGCTTGAAGATTGTAAGAATATCAGTTGTTTTCTTAACAGATTCATTAATTGTCAGCAGTTCAAAATACGTACCCTTGTTGCACGATATTTGGTACAAAATTTCTAAAAAAATAGATAAATAATTGGATACCATCCCATTGCGGTGTTCGAGGAAACGAAATAGCAGACAATCTCGCCAAAAAAGGAGCGCTGAAAGAAAACATAGAAAAATTAGAACTAGACATTTTATACATTAAGGAAGAGTTGACAAACCACATGTCTTCAGTTTATAAAGAAATCTGGCAATTTCATGCAATGGGAGTCCTCATGCATTAAAATCATGGAAGACAATTTTGGCGAATTTAGCCAAATGTCACACAAAAAACGAATTCAAGGAATTAATAGAAAAAAGGAGTAATAATATACATCAGTTGAGACTAGGGAAATGCAAATTAAATTATTATCAGCACATTATTAATCAACATGAATTAGGACTATATTAATTGTAATTAGGTTTCAGCGGAAACTATAGGAATGCAAGAAATGATGAAAGAGAAAAAGGGAATGAATGCAAAGACGATTAGGATTTAGTAAAATTATTAGGGAATTTAACCGATTTTAGAGTCCTCTTATTATATTAAAGCTATAACAGATTTGACGTGTTCGTATAGATAGTGCGTTTTCCTTTGTGAGTATATGATTATGATTGAAATGTTTGAAAATCATTGAGGATGCATCTTTAAAATGCACGACTATAATGGTGAAGGGAAATTAAATATAATTAATATTGCACAGTAGCACTTCGCTAAGTCAGGTGAGCCAACTCTTAACTCGAAAACATGAGTCTGGAAAGTCAGACTATAATGGTGAAGGGAAATTAAATATAATTAATATTGCACAGTAGCACTTCGCTAAGTCAGGTGAGCCATATCTTAACTCGAAAACATGAGTCTGGAAAGGCAGAACCCCCCCCCCCCCCCCGCCACCACCACCAGTAAAAATGTGCCTTGAGATCAAGTACGAAAAGATAAAAGCACCAAAGGCGCAGATAATCTGTCAAGATTGAAGAGCGCCATCTAGACGCCAACAACAACAACAACTAGGCTATGGGGTTGTTGATTAATTTTGTCGACAAGTTGATGACATGTGTTGTGCGCGATATATCCTAGCTAGATAGAGTAGACTGAGAGCCGATATATATCCCCATTTTTATCAATATAATCTGTCAGAGCTAGAGTGAAGTACTACAACGGACAAGACACGTACAGCACGTTGATTAATACCTTTTTCCTTCCCCAGTGCAGCGACAAGGCTCCCCGCTCACTTGTGATCAGTCTCCAGTCTGTGGGATCGATGCTGCCCGTAGCTCCGGGGCGGGCCTGGGCTCGCAGCTGCGAGCTACCCACTCGTAGAAACCTGAGAACCGTACTCAAGTCAGGGGCACATCTCTCTCGCAGCTCTGCTCTGTACTGGCTCTGCATTTTCTGGTAAAGTTGCTGCCCTGGTGAGTTTACTTTAAAACGTTACCGGAAGTGTTTTTCTACAAGAAGAAGAATTGAGTTATAACTGAGAGTTTAGAGTAATTTAGAGTGTTTCTGGGGGCCATAAGGCATAACCCATGAATTGTGGGAATTAGGTCCACAAACTTAGGCTGGAAAAAATTAAACAAAAAATACTGGCCCCACACCCCTGGGGACTTTTTTTTTTTTACAAAAAGATGTCAATGATGGAGGGGAGGGGGAGGGGGGATCCAGGGGGACCCTCAAGATATTAATTAAGCTAAAAAACAATGTTTCTTGACTAAATGGACCGATTTGCTATTCCTGAATGGAAATTATATATCACAACTACATATTCTGAGATTTTCATGGTCGCAGCTACCATCGTACGACCGTAGGCGCTTTATGATATTAATCAAAATTTACTGGGAGCACGCCACAGGTAAATTTTTATATTCAATTTTTCTCGAAAAATAAAGTGTTTTAGGGGCTAAAATTTCTAGTGCTTATAATACATCCACAGGGGCATCCAAATATATCAAAATTGTAGAGAATCACTATCCACCCAATTTTCAAAATTTCCCAAAACTTTGTAATACCTTAGAGGTGCCAAAACATGGGTTGGTCGGTTGGAATTTCTTTTTGGTGACTTTAAAAAAAAAAATTCTCCCTCTTTGGGCTGATATTTCTAAGTTTTGAATGGTTTAAACTTTTTTAAATGCAGACCGTAGATTTCAAGAATTTTTGGTCGGTCGCAAAGGGCAATACAACATCTTTTTTTTAAAGCCTGAGGGTGGACCTGAACTTTTCCTTTGAATCCTTTATACCTCATGTCATTTGTAATTTGGTCTCGTTGACACAGGCTAGCCACGATCTCTATTGGTCTTCCTGAAGAAGGACAGATGTGAGGAAAACGACATGTCTAGCAGGGATGTAAGTATTGAGCAACTTTTCATTTTATATTTCCACAAAGATTCACATTTACCTTAAGATTAATCACTTGATTTACAGATGTGTTGTGGTCGAGTGGTTAAGTCTCCGGACTGTGAACCACAAGGTACAGGTTCAAATTCCTTCCACAACGCTAAAGTCCTTTTGCAAGATGTTAATCTGCATTTGACACACTCCATCCAGGTGAGGTGAATATTAAATGAGTACCTGGTACCTGTACTAAGATTATTCCTTGAAATGCACCATGTGCTGCATGATAAGGCCTAAAATAAAAACTTGTTGCATTGCCCTTTGGGTGCCAAAACATGGGTCGGTCGGTCAGAAAAAGTTTTTTTTTTGTCGCCCTCTTTGGGCCAATATTTTCCAATTTTTATTGCTTTAATGCATGTGTTTCAACGTCATCATACATGTATATCTTTTTCACCTCATAATCATCCATGGTTTGCACGAGTGAGAATTTTGTAATAATTTGATTTTATGCATTTATATCCCATTTACACAAACAAAATTACATATTTTTGTAATCATTAATAAAAAAAATCTAAAAAACGGTTTAAATTTTTTTTTTTTAAATGCCGACCGTAGATTTTCAGATTTGTGGGTTGGTTGCAAAGGGCAATGCAACAAGTTTTTATTTTAGGCCTTATGGCTACTGAGCTACATGTATATTAGCCGGCATGATAATTCCAAAGCTCTTTGGAAGTGCATTGGGACGTTGTATCATACATATACAGGGCACAAAATTATGCACTAGATACAAGCAAGATCCTTATAATTATATCATTACATTTCATTTCTTGCAGATTCATACCAAGTAACCATGGCTACCGACGAAGGCTCAAATTATACTCTTCTTATGAACTCTGATCTTGCATCTGAAGAATGGGAGCTGTATGAAGCATGTGGACTATCAGAAACAACGGAACTTCCTATTGAGTCCCGTGCTGTCATTGAGGATCCCTTGGACTGCATCCCGTCAATAACTAACCCCAATTCTGAAACTCAGGTCGTAGATGCAATAGGGCTTGACCATGTCTATCAAAGAAACAGCAGCGATGCCGCCCCAACCGTGACGGAATGTCAACCAGGTTTGGAAAGTCCTACATGTATTTCCTTACCAGAACTGCCGAAACTAAGTAATCCAAAACCTGCTCTAGATGACCCTATCAACAGACCTGTGGGCAGTATGTCCTCAACAAAGTCCTTGAGCTTCTTGCTCGATCACACATATTCAGCACAACCTTCAAAGAAACCACCTTCAAAGCAACAACCTTCAAAGAAACTTCCCATGTGCGAGTTGTGTAGGCCTAGGACTTTTTTTTCAAATCGCCTTGTACTTACGGAACATTACAAATGGCATCTTTTTGAAGATGCCAATGTTGGTGTCCAAAAGCCATCTATCCAGTGCCTACTAGAGCAAACTACAGGGGGCATCAAGCAGACTAGCGAGGTTGATTCTCAGCTACATATCATGGCGAATGCTCCTAAAGAAACCAGCATTAGTCCTCAAGTGAGGCCATCTACCCTGTGCCTGCAGAAGGTACGGAAAGCTGCTCAAGACACAAATGGAATCTTGCAGAGTAGCAAGAAAAACGTTTTTGATCAGTTGCAGCAGACCCAATCTACAGAGAACATCAAGCAGATTAGCGAGAAGACTGATTCTCAGCTTCATACCACGGCAAATGTATTTGATGAAACCACATGCCTACTAAAGCAACCAACAGAGAGCATTGGGAAGACTACAGAGGGTACTTCTCAGTCACTTCTTTTATGTGATCTGTTAGGGGCGGATAAACAGCATCCCGTTACACGCGTTTATCACACTTCTATAAACAAGACAGCTCTTAGAGATGACCACAAAACTAACATACTTGGAAATATTTTCCGTTGCATTTGGTGCAAGAAATTTTTCAGCCAGTTTGAGAGCTTTAAACAGCACAAGTGCAAGAAGAAATCTGGCAAGGCCAACCCTTGTGCACTGATAAATACATATTTGTGTGAGTATTGTGGAGTTTCTTTTGCACGGCATGGCAACTTCATGAAGCACATAGTCCTGCACAAACAGACACAATCTATAGTGAACATTAAGCAGACTAGCAAGAACACTGATTCTCGGCCACATGCCATTGAGAGTGTGCTTCAAGAACCCGATGTTAGTCCTCCAGTGAAGCCATCTATCCTGTGCCTGCAGAAGGTAAGGAGAGCTGCTCAGAAGCAATCCGCCCTGTCTCTACTGAAGCGGTCAAAAGAGATCATTAAGTGGACTAGCAAGAACACTAATTCTCGACCACATGCCATAGAGAGTGTGCTTCAAGAACCCAATGTTAGTCCTCCAGTGAAGCCATCTATCCTGTGCCTGCAGAAGGTAAGGAGAGCTGCTCAAGACACAGATGGAATCTTGCAGAGTAGCCAGAAAAACTTTTTTGATCAGTTGCAGCAGTCCCAATCTATAGTGAACATCAAGCAGACTATCCAGAACACTAATTCTCGATCACCTGCCATAGAGGGTGTGCTTCAAGAACCCGATGTTAGTCCTCAGAAGCAATCCGTCCTGTCTCTACTAAAGCAGTCAAAAGAGATCGTTAAGCAGACTGGCGTGAAGGGGGATTCTCAGGGGCATCAGCAGCAACGCTTGTTTACTCTGTCTGGACCTGATTACGTTCCTGAAGACAAGATGGCTCTTAAAAATAATAACACATCTTGTACGATTGGAAAGCATCCTCAATGCTCATGGTGCAAGAAGTATTTTGCCCGCCAAGTTTGGTTTGAACAGCACATGTGCAAGATGAATTCTTTCTGGGGCAACTCCAATTCAAGGACACATATTAAACATTTGTGTGAAAATTGTGGTTATTTTGTTAAACTTCCTGACAACTACACCAAGCACTCGGCCCTGCATAGGTGTAAGGAACTCGACGGATGTAGCCCTGTACTGGATTCCGCTGCCACATCTGATGCTAATCCTAAGACCAGTAATTCAAGCAACAGAATAACACCCTTTCGGTGTTTAACATGCAGTAAAGCTTTTGCATTTGAGAGTCAGCTCCTGCAGCACGAAAAGTTGCACCGTCGTCGTAGATATTTGTGTGAATATTGTGGGTTATTTATTAAACTTTCTAACAACTACACCAAGCAATTGGCCCTGCATAGGTGTATGAAACTCGGCAGATGTAGCCCTGTACTGGATTCCGCAGCCACATCTGATGCTATACCTGAGACCAGTAATTCCTATAACAGAACAACACCCTTTCAGTGTTCAACATGCAGTAAAGCTTTTGCATTTGGGAGTCAACTCCTGAGGCACCAAAATTTGCACCGTCTTGAAAGTCGACGTCCTGTTCCAAAGCGAGAACGGTCAGATTCGGAGAGCGGTGATGAGAGCTTTGGAAATACAGTGAAGAAGGTACAGAGTGGAAAGGAAGGCAGCAGAGGAGAGGAAAGATTTGGATGGAAGTTCAGGATAAAAGAACCTGATGTTGAAACAGGCAGTGGGACTAGGAAAAGAGGAGCTGGTGGGAAAGGAAATCTGCAAGAGGGTCCCAAATCAGCACCTAGGTGGGGCGGGAAGGCTCGTACAAAGGGAAAGGTCAAGCACTTTTTTTGTAGAGCTTGTGATAAAGGGTTCTATCATCCGTGGCAGCTGAGGAAACATAAGGCTTTACATACAGAGTTAAGCTGTAATAAGTGCAATGGGTTGGTGTTCTCATCGAGTTCGGAATTAAATAATCATTTGTTTATCGGTTTACATAATGAGCAGGTACAGTCTGCAAGACATGAGAAGCGTGGTTCCGAGGCATCAGCACCTCAAGGGGACACTGAACCTTCAACACCTAAAGAACTGGAGTCTGTACAAAGTGGACATCCTAAAGGAAGAATGATTTCCTCAGTGGCCACTGGGCTGAAGTCTGTCCAGAGTGGAAAATCTAGAACAAGCTCAATGTCCAAAAAAGTTGACCTTGCCTCAAGTGGACAATCGAAAGGAAGAACAAAGACACTGCCGGACAAAAAATTGAAGTCTGTTCAAAGTCGGCATCGTAATGGAAGCAACAAGTCCTCTAAAGACAAGAAAATTAAGTCTGTACAACATGGACATTCAACAACAACAAAAGAATTCTCCTCAAGGACCAAATATTCAGAGTGCTCACAAAGTGGGCAACCAGTTGTAAGTGCTGCAGAACCTTTGGTTAGCGCAGTAGGAACAAAACCTATTCATTGTGATCAATGTGGTAAAGAATTCTTGCAACTCTGCAAACTGAATTTTCACAAGTTGAAATGTAGGGAGTTCAACTGCGACAAGTGCGAGGGCTTGACCTTTTCATCCAATGCAGAATTGAAGAGCCATATGCTTGGACACACGAACAAATTCAAATGTCCCAAGTGTGGTGCCCAGTTTGCCTCTCAGAAGCTTTTGACAAATCACACTGCAAGACATTCTGATCTGGTCCCAAACATATGTGATGTATGCGAGCTTGCCTTTAACTCCTTGAAAGCCTTAAAGATGCACAAAATTATGTACCATTTTTGACAACTTCGAGATGAAAGTGCAACTTGAAAGACAGAAAAGTGCAAAGAATTCCAAAGGAAAGAGATAGCATGTAAACAATTAGAAATAAAGAAGAAAGAGCAATAGAAAGAGATCTTTTAAGAGGTAACAACCAAGATGTCCGTCTAACTCACAAAGTGGCACCCACAACCTCTTTCTGTGTTTAAGGTTGGAGGTAATGGTTTTACAGGGCGTCTCAGAGAAAAAAAGGTTTCAAAGTTTACAGGTTTAGAAAAGTCTCCCCACATAATTATGGATAGTTATGGTCCCTTCTGTCAAATGACATCAATAGTAAAGAGAGCCTAATCTATCCAGAGCTTTTGATAATTTCCTGAAAAGGTTTTGAAATGTATGTTATGATATACTTGTTCCATTTGTAAACTTTGCTGAGACACACTGTATAAACATTTGGGACCTCTCTAAGTTTGTTCAGTGAAAGAATGTATTTCTTGGTAACGCGGACGTGTTATTGGATTCTTTCCAGACGAGGGAATTAAAGAAATCATACACTTTTAAAAACTCAAAATATTTTTAGGTCTGACTATGATTAAAGATAATTTATATCTTGCACATGTACGACACTTTCTCCTGCCTCAATTGCTCCACAGTAATTTCCTACATACTAAGTTAATTCCTAACTTCAACTTTTGACCCAATACCCTAACCCTATACCCTTAACCAAACCTGAAACCCAAATTCTACCCTAACACTAATCTACTTCTTTTGACAATCCATAGCTCGGATCTGTTTTTTCAAGAGCAAATGTTGGAACACCTATCGATAAACCTTCATCCACATAATATATCTACTGATGAATGACATGGGCACTGTTTCATTAAAAAACTTGGTATCAGCAACAAGTTGCAATAATTGCGATGAGGTACTGAAATCATTGCATTCCATTGGCTGTGAGCAATTAATTAGAGAAAGGCAATAGATAACACTGATAGGAAGTTTAATGAAACGGTGCCCTAGTACTTTATTGATTTATGTATTTAAAAAGGTCTATCCTTGGGCTAATGCATTTTGACCCAAAAAATTATGGAGAGATTTGACAGTTTTTTCATAATATGAAGATGATCGCTATCTAACAAAAATAAATTTGCAACTTTGTCACAAATTATTGATGTCAATTCCTCACTTCTTTCCAAAAGTTCTGTATAAATGTTGGTACTTCACAGATTCACAGTGAGTTCTTCCCCAGCAAATCTTAAAGTAAAATACATGTACATTATCTACTGGAATGTATATGCATGTACTATTGAGCAAATTAATAAACCTTATACAAATCAATAAGATGCAAATGATCATGAATTTATTTTACAGAGAGAGAGAGAGAGAGATGGGGGCAAAAATGACTGTCATATTTTACCAAGAGAAGGAGAGAGTTGGAAAAGAAAATCACATTTGTTTTACCAACAGAGAAAAGGGTTGGAGCAGGAAGATCAAATGACAGAAAGAGAGTGAGCTGAGATAAAGCTAGTAGTGTCGCTTCATACTCTGAAAGTCTTACCCCCTCCCCAATCACGTACTACTCATGTAGCAGGGAGCAGGGGCAGATCTGGGGGGGGGGGGCGGTTTAACTACCCTCCCCCCCCCCCCCCCCACTTGGGCGGCCAAGTGAAAAAAGGAAAACGTTGCAATGTTTGGGAAATCCTGGATCCACCACTGGGTCAAACCCCCCCCCCCCCCCCCCCCCCCCCTGGTCAAAAACCTATAGATCCGCGCCCCTGGAGAGTAATAGAAAATAGAGGCGCCTGCAGATGGGAATAAGAAATAGACTCGGGGGAGGGGAGGGAGAAACGGTAGAGTGGACGGTTCCCGAGACTGATAGTATATACATTTTTATGTCGAAATGCAATAACTCGATTATTAAAAGCAATTATACAAAATCTAAAAATAAATTTTCTTTATCTGAATTATTGGGCAAATGGCGCGCCATAGCGTGCTTGTCGTCGTGCGTGACGCGTACGTAGATTGATCGAGGGCGCCACCTACATTATGAGAAAGGAGGTGCAAAGTCGGCAGAAGTCTTGCTAGAATTACCGGAAACTCGAGTAAAATTTCATAAACGAAACTGGTAAATTTGATTTCATTGTTATTTTTCATCAATATTGAGTTGTTAATATGTATGATAACAGTTTAGTACGGTAGCTGCAGCAGGTTTTACAAAATATTACGTGAATATACTGCAGTAGCTAGGCTCGATCACACATAGCTGCATTACTATCCTCGCTGTGTATTAAAAGCTGTGCTATTGATTCTCAACATTTCAAACACCACTGTACAAAACTGAACTGATTTCACTCGAAATTGGTACTTTAGTGACAATTGATGACACCTAAATAGCAGTAAAATACAAATTTTTCAACTTTCTGATGTTAGAAAGAATAATTTAAAATTTTAAATTGTGAGTCTAATGTCAAACTTTCCGATCAGCCGGATCGGCATGATTATGTGTATTTGTGTGTTGTGAGTGTATTGACTATTCATGTACCGAATGCTGCCTATTATTACACGTAGTGCAGTGCTAGAGGTCAATACACATTATCATTGACTCTCTATGCTTTGCTGTGGAGTACATGTTTCTATTGTCAAATTTGCCGATTAGCCACATTGGTTCTATTGTGTGTGTGGTGTGTGTACCTGCCTCTACATGTGTAGCTCTCATGAAGTATGCAGTGCTAGAGGTCTCTATGCTTTGCTGGAGTGTGTGTACAGGCACTCCAGTCATTGCTAATGCGTATTGACCTCTAGCGTTGTATACTTGTCGAGAGGCAGCAATTCACACAATACACACACTGCACATATATTGCTAACAATGAATACGATGTGGCTGATCGGCAAGTATGACAGACTCACGATATAAATATTCTTTCTAACATCGGCAAGTTGAAAATATTATATTTTACTGTTATTTAGTCGTCATTAATTGTCACCAAAGTACCGATTTTAAGTGAAATCGGTTGAGTTTTGTACAGGTACAGGTAGGTCTAGACGTGGAGTTTGAAATGTTGAGAATCAATAGAACAGTAACTTTGTAACATTGTTCAGATGAGAGATAGTGGTGCTAAGGTAGTGACTTCATCAATGCTAGATGTACAATTAAAGATAATCTGAAAATTTGAGCGAAAACGGACCGTTATTCATGGTACAAATTGGGAAAAACTGATTCGATCGATTCCTTAATTCTCCCAACTAGTCTAGACCCTATATTATTACAATTTAATTACATTTTACGTGAATGGAAATCTCACAAAGCAATAAAAAGGCTCTAGAGTCTACATTCCATTCCAGACATTTAAGTGTTGACAGATTTTTTATAGCCTGTTTTTATGTCTTTTTTTTTCATGGAAAAACGGTTGGGAAAATTCAAAAATGGTTGGGAGAATTTAGATTCAGAAGCGCCGCACATCGACGCCCGTTCGAAAACCTGTTGAACTTTGTTAAAAATCTTCATATTGCGTGAATTAATTTCGGATTTGGGGCATCGTAGTTGGATAATCCATACATACAAACATAATTTTACGTGTTTTGCATCCTGATTCAACAGATTTGTGAAATCAACCATCACAATGTTACTAAGTACCTTAATACACAGCCAGGATCAAGGGTGTCGATTTGTATCCGTGGTTGGGGGGGGGGGGGGGGGGGGGGGGGGGGGTGGGGGGATGATAGGTGCCAAAATATTTTCGGCAATGGATCAAAGTAATCACGAGGTAGTGAGCACGCGAAGCGCGGTCCCTAGGGGGTTGCGTGCAGGGAGGGGGAGTTTTCACTAAATTATTAGAGAAAGAAGACGATTCGTTGGACCGTTCTCGACTCTTAATCCTTGTTTGAATCAAGTTCCCCTTCCTCCGCGCGTAACGCGGAAGCTCTGACGTTTCATTAGATTATTAAAGACAGAAGACGATTCGATGTACCATTCTCAACTCTTAATCCTTGCTTGAATCAAGTTCCCCTTCCTCCGCGCATAGCGCGGAAGCTCTGACGTTACATCAGATTATTACAGAAAGAAGACGATTCGATGTACCATTCTCGACCCTTAATCCTTAATGTTTGAATCAAGTTCCACTTCCCCTTCTGACGTTTCATTAGATTATTAAAGAAAGAAGACGATCCTATGTACCATTCTCGTCTCTTAATCCTTGTCTGAATTCATTTTCGCCCATTCCTGCGCGAAGCGCGGAAGCTTTCACATTAGAGAAAGAAGACGATTTGTTGTATCGTATCCTTCATGAACTCAGTTCCCCCCTACCGTTTTTAACGTTTCAATAAATTATTACTCTTAATCCTTGTCTGTATTCATTTTTCGCCCATTCCGTGCTTAGCGCGGAAGCTTTCACGTTTCATTAAACTATTCGTAAAAGAAGCCGCTTCGTTGTATCGTGTACTTTGACGTTTCATTTGATTATTACGCTTACATGTAATTCACGTCTGAATTCAGTTGCCCCCTAACAGCTTTGCCCTTTTCACTGAATTATTAGAGAAAGAAGACGATTCGTTGTACTGTTCTCTATATTAATCCTTGTCTGAATTCAGTTTCGCCACTGAAAATAATTTGTGTTACAAATAAGTTGTGACATAATAATCTTTCTCCAAAAATGAAAAATCTTTTAGGAAATATCAGGAAATAAAATGACTGAAAAATACAAAAATAAAGATACAATGACGTGAATTTTAAAAAGGGTGAACGAAAACAACATAACAACTAGAGAACTATTTTATAAGTCATACTAATGTCCAAAAATCTTTCTCCTTGTCTCCAATCTCATCAAAAAATCGTCACAGAGTTCATCTATGTTTACACTGTCCAGGATTGTCTGATGTGCATTGCATATTGCTATTTTTGCGCTTCGCGCTTAACATTTAGCTCGTTGCTTTTTGATGCTGCGTCTTTGCATTTGGCGCACTGCATTTCTATGATGCTGTTGAATGAACAAATTGAATAAATTCATCAATTCCTGATGAAGCCGTATGAGCGAGAATTCAATTTATTCTTGTCTTATTTACTTCGTATATATGTATGTATTATGAAAATGAGATAGCAAAATGTGTATATTGATGGTCATCTTGCGAGTAATAACCATCAACTACTCTCATCGGGCTCTCATCCTTAATTTTTCTCTTTATTTTTTTTTGTTTTTTGATGGTGAATTATTTGGGGGGGGGGGGATGATTGTACAGGCCATCCCCCCACCTGAAATATTGGGGGGATATATCCCCCCCATCCCCCCCCCCCCATCCCCCCCCCCCCCCCCCCCCCCCCCCCCCCCCCCCCCCCCCCCCCCCGGGATCGACACCCATGGCCAGGATAGTAATGCAGCTATATTATGTGTGGCCAAGATAAGATACATTCAGTAGCCATTTTAATAAGCACCACATGTATCACTACCCTTTTCCATCTTTTAATAAGAATGAGCGCCGTTTTCCTCTATATAACGCAAATTCTTTTGTTACCACATATTGTGTACTTTTGCTTACCCATGCAGTTTGTGTAAATGAATTCATGTGCATCGCCATCGTCATGATGGCATAGAGGATATATGATCTTGAGGAAGAGCTAAGATAATGGCTGTGATGATTATTCTGATGTTAATAAAAATAATAATGATGATGTATTGATGTTGATGATGATAATGATAATTATAATAATGCTACTACCGTAATAATAATGAAAATGATAATCAAAAGAAGAAGAAGTTCTAAGAGGATGGGTAAGAGTGAACTTAGTAATGCTAGGAAAAGGAAGAAGTACATTTTTCAAACTTTGTTTATATGTTTTTCTTCATTTGATCCAGGAATCAGTGGAGCACACAAACAAGACCAAAGCAGATATAATCCAACCAAGGATAATTAAAATCTTAAAGAAAATGGACCCCTTACAACCATCTCAATCCCAAAAGGAATTCCTCTCTGTTGCTGGTTTAATTGGTTGTTCGAACATCGTTGAAATTCAGACGGTGTCCGAGATAGAAGTCCTTGGGAGCAGTAAGAATGTCGGAACTCCTAGCCATGAAACTAAATTCCAGTGCAGTGCATGCGCAAAGGCTTTTAGGCTTGAGAGTCAACTCCTACGACACAAGAATACACATCGTGGCGACAGTCGCAGACCCGTCGTAGAGTTACTGCCACCATACATGTATACCTCCTTAATCGATGAGATTTCTGAAAATTCAGAGAGGCCAAGAAAGAAAGCTAAGAAGGAAGGGAGCGATAATGAGGAAACTGTGGGTTGGAGATTCAAAATACTTGGACGTAGAAGAGACAGGAGAGGAGTAACTGGTGTGAGAGGAAATCAGCAAGAGGGTCCCAAATCAGCACCTGGATGGGGCAGGGAGTCTACCAGTTCCACCAAAGATCTGACAGCCACAGAGGATCTGACAGCTGGACATACGGAACAGGATCCAGAAACGTCAGCACTGAAGAGAAGGGCCAAGGATGTAAACTCGGTTAAAAGTGGGCAATTGAGTAGTCTTGTGTCAGCACCTGAGATCAGCCCTGCGAAGGACAGCCGCTTTCCTTGTGGTCTCTGCAGTGAAAGGTTCTCAAGCAGTGCTAAGCTGAAGAAGCACATGTTCGTACATTCAGGCTTCAGCTGCGATGAATGTGGCGGGTTGGCATTTGCATCCAATGCTGCACTGAGGAGACATTTGCTCGTTCATTCTGAGAAACCAAAGAAGAGTCAAGATGCCACATCATCAGCAACAAAAAAGAGTACCAAGTCTCCTTCATTCCAGAAGCCAAAGAAGGGTCGAGATGCCACATCATCAGCAACAAAAAAGAGAACCAAGTCCCTTTCAAAATCCAAGGATTCAAAATCTCTACAAAAAGGGCAACCAAGTGCTGTAGCTCCTAAACGTGCAATAGGTGCGGGAGTGCAATGGGGTGTTTTTCCATGTAATCACTGTGATAAGGTGTTTTCACGCCCTAATCAGCTCAAATTTCATATGATCGCACATTCAAACGTCAGCTGTGTATTATGTGATGGGTTGACATTCACATCAAATGAAGAATTTAGAAGGCATTTGATTACACACTCTGGCCAGCGGTGGTCCTTGAAACGAGAAAAGGATTATTCTCAATCATTGACATCTAATGGAAACACAGAGTCCCCCAAAAAGTCAGTCAAAAAGCGTATTCATTGTAGTGTGTGTAAGAAGTCTTTTGCTCGTCCCTGTTACCTTAGGAAGCACATGGTTGTGAGTGATTGTGCATCCAAGAAGGCTCTGAAGGCTGCCAGACGTAAGAAATACAGTCCTAAATCGTCAGGGGCAGAAGGAAAGCATGAGTCCCCCCAAAAGGAAGTCAAAGAGCGTATTTATTGTAGTTTGTGTGATAAAGGGTTCTCTCGTCCACAGCGCCTTTGGAAACATATGGTTGTACATGGCTACATATCCGATAAGCCTGCAGAGACTCTGAGAAGTAAGGAAATAGGCCCTAGGTCATCATCACCTAAAGAAAGCATTAATTCCTCACCATCTAAAGAGCACAAGTCTGTGAAAAGTGGGCAGACTAAAAGAAGCAACAAGTCCTCAACATCCAACAAACCGCTGCCTGTACCAAGTAGACAACCTAAAGGAAGAACAAAGTCTTCAACAGCCAAAGAACTGATGCCTGCGCCAAGTAGGCAAGCTAAGAAGAGCAAGAAGCCCTTGGCTGACAAAGGACAAATGCCTGTAGCAAGTGGGCAAGTAAATATCAATGCCTCAGGACCTGTGGGAAGTGTCGTCGAGGACAAACCCTTTCCATGTATCCTGTGTAGTAAGAAGTTCTCTAAGCTATCGCAGCTCAGGATCCACAAGGCCTCTGTGCATTCAGACTACAACTGCGACCGATGCGACGGGTTGTCATTCCCTTCCAGAGAGCAGTTGAGTAGCCATATGCTTATACATGCCATGCAGTTGAAATGCCCCCTGTGCGACGCCATGTATTCCTCTCAAAACACCTTGTTGGAGCACATTGCCACTCACTCCGATCCTGTCCTTCTTATATGTGAGATATGTTCATCTACCTTTCACTCGCTCAAGTCCTTGAAAATGCACCAAATTATGGATCACTCTCAATCGATATTGATAAATACCATTGAAACTCAGGAAAAGGAGAAGAGAGAACTTGTTAAAAAGAAAAGGAAGAAGCAAAGGAAAAAGTACAACCAAACTGTACTTGAAAAAATACCAGGTTATTAGGTTCACATCAGGGATTGGGTGAGGCAAAGTCTCACTGCAAGTGTTTCCTTTTTTTTTCTTTCTTCCCCTTGGGCCTACCAACATGGTCAGAGGTCTTTTACCAGATCCGCCCTCTTAGGCTCTTTGGAATATGAAGTGATAAACTGCAGCATGATTTTTTTCTTTCTTTTCATAACTTGTCAGTGTATAGTACCGGTAAACGTGCACAGCAAAGAGTCAGAGGTCTGAAGATTATTCACTAAGCTCTGTGTTATAAAATACTGGTACAGAAATGTTAAGTCTTATATTCAATTTAATATGCAATTTATTTTTTAATTGCAGCAGTTTACCATGCTATAATCCATAAAAGCTACCTCTAAAAACTGAAAACTGCTGAAGTGGGACCCAAGTCTGACTTGGCCGGGTTCTGCATGTGCCCTTTTTCTATGCGCACAGCCGCACACATACCGGTACGTCGTACCTGCCAACATTTGAAAATAAGAATTAGGAATTTTTAGCACAGTATGCCTTCAAAAATAAGAATAAGAATGGCAATACGTGGTAAATCTGTACCAAAAAGCGAATACAAATTTTCTGCTTATTCATCCAGCCATTCAACGAACGCAATACGCTCACTCTCACATCGAGGCAGATGATAAAACAAATTTTGAAAAATTGAAATATTCTGAATTTTCAGGTCTTAAAACTCTATTAATTAAAAAAAATTCTGGATTTTTCGTAAGGGTTGGCAGGTATGATACGTGTGTGTTGAGTAGTCTACCATTACTTACAAGTCACTTTTATGTTAGTTTTGAAAGTACATGTATATCAAAAATTGCAAAATCTCTTTACAGATTAAATATTTGAAGCCCATATTTTGAATAAACATGCATGTAGTGGACATACAAAACAATATTTTCATGGCTATTGGTTTCCTAAACTGGATTTTTGTTTGTAAATATTTTAGTATATATATATTGCTTATGTTCTACTCGTATGGACGAGTGTTGTTTACAGTTGAAACCCCAATAATTATAATTTATAAATTAAAGAATCTACCTTTCATTTTGAAAAGAATCGTTGCACAGTATTGATTTGTACAGAGGTGATAAGCTTGAGAGATAATAGCGAGTGGGGTAATGCAACGTTTGCTCGTCGACAAATTTTCTAGGCTTTATTTTGTCACAGATGTAGGGCTAGAATTTGGTATGGATTGAAGTAGGACATTGATTGAGGAGCAATTGTAGGTTAAGCAAGTTTCATATAATCAGGGATTTTACGATGGCTTGGAAGGAGGAAAACGAGACGGAGGAAGATAATGGAGTGGTAGTTAACAAGGGAAAAGACAGAGAAAAGAAAAGTTGCGTGGTACCTGAAGGAGAATGAGAGAGGAAGATCGAGGATAGATGATTATGAAAGGAGAAAAGAGACTGATTAAGATGAAAGTAAAAGAGTGGAAAGTAAGATGGTTATGAATGATAAGAGATGGAGGGAGATGAAAGAAAGATGAGATAAATGATGAGATGGAGAAAGATAAAAAGAAAATCAACATCAAAAGAAAAGAAGATGGAGGGGGATGTGAAAGAGATGTGAAGATAGGGAGATGGAGGAAGAAAGACAAAACATATCTACATTTGTGCCTTTTCATTTCTCTATTGTTTCCAAGTAATCTACATTAACTTTTGATAATGAAAGACACAAGTACTAGGAGTAAATGAGATGAATCGAGACTCGTCTACCTTTTATTATAGCAAAGAGACCATTCATGAAACAAATTATCATTACACGAGACTGTAATATACATGTGGCAGCTTATGAAAGATTACCGAGATCAAAATTTACAGACAGGATTAAATTGAATGTTGCTGTTTATTTATACGGACATGTGCTACAAAAAAGCCTCGGAATAATTTATGTTCACAACTACAATTAAATAATATAATGTCAGATCTACAACTTACTTGATGAATATCTTAATTTTTTATTCGTTTAATCTCGGTGCCGGTGTAAACTTGATGATCCAAAGACATGCCATGATTAGTATTTGTTTATGAACTAATTAAAAAACTTACAGGTGTACTATTAACTTGTAAAGTTGCTAAAAAAGAGCCACGAGTGTCAAGAAACTCTGGTTTATTATTTAATGAGAATGCAGATATTATGATTTTTATTTGAGTGTGATGATCATAACAGTTTCAACAATAGTGGAGTCTTAAATAGTGCTCATGTTTTGCACATTGTCACTCCTGGGCCCCATATTACAAAGGGTTGATATTAATCGCAACTCTTTGTAAGACGGGGCCCATTTACCTTGCCTGGGTGGAGTGTGGCAAATGTGGACCACAACACCTATAAAACACCTTGTAAGACAAGACTGATATCACAGTAATTAAGCCCTTGTACGTGTTCATAAACTGAGGATAAATGTAACTTTTACACAAGCGCCTGAAAAGAGTCAAGATATCATCACATAAAACATTTTAACTTAACACTATCATAATTATAATTATTCTTTGTACATAAATACAGATATCTGCTTTGGGCCTCTCGCATAAACTTTACAGCAGGGAATTGAAAACCCCCACAGAATGTGAAGCTCAAATTGGTATTTTAATCGGATTTCACTGCAATGAAAAATTACATCTGGGGGGCGTTTCACAGAACTTGTCATCAGTGACAAATTACAGTTTTGTTATAAGCTGATTGGTTATCAGCAGATTTGTCATTGATTTTTGTCATTTGCCATTGAAAAAAGGCTTTGTGAAAACATCTTCATGCAAAACTGCAGTTGATAATCAATCCCATCATAATAAATGATGCACAACTGTTCATTCAAGCCGATCGTATCAATAAATATCTTTGCTAAGATTCTTACCTTCAGATATTTTCATGGATGACAAGGATAGACATTTTCGTAAGGTGTTTTTTTTCTTTTAAAATAAATAACAAAGGTTACTTGCAATAAATGCACTGCCAACTATTATTTCACATGTTCACAATATAACCCTTGTATAAATAAAAGTTGATACCCCTTTCACACCGGATTTATCCATCAAATTCCAGATAGTTCGTCAGGAAAAAAGAATTGACACACAAACGTAAATAGATCTCGATTAATTTCTAGGCCTGTCCGTCACACCGAAGGGTCTATGAACACCAATTAAATAGTGGCCAGACTTTTCATCCGTGTTTCATTTCGACACGCGATAGATGGATTTTGTTTCAAAGAAATTTAACAGGTGCATCCGTTGAATTATTTCCTGTCTGAATGGGGTGTTTATACATTACTACTAGGCATTTATGCAAGAGGTCCATGGGGCCATATTCTGAAAACAATGTTATCTTTTATGTGAATGAAAAACATATGAATTGTCATAAGAAATTAAAATTGCTTGGCACTAACACTAACTATTAGTGCTTGCGGATGTCTTTTTCAACGTAGCCAGCTTTATGCAGACATTAACCAATGATATGTCCATATTTCGACTTGTTATGACAATAAATATTGTTTTATAAAAATATAGCATCGTTTTAAGAACACCACCCCTAGGGCCTTGTAACACAAAGGGTTTCCTATCAATTGCAAATTTGAAATAACGATTCCGATTGCTGATTGGTCATAGCCATTTTGCAAATGATTGTAGACCTCTGTGTTATGGGCCCTGGGGCATGTTTCACAAAGATCCTAAGTCGAACTTGACTATAAGTTGGACTTAAACATTATGGAGAGCCATTTGTAGCCTTAAAATTGCCTTTTCTCTGCATTTTGAATAGGACTTTTGAAATAACTTTTACAAAATATTTTCAATGATGCTAACGGCTTTTCATAACTGTTAAGTCCAACTTAGAGATAAGTTCAACTTAGAATCTTTGTGAAACACCCCCCTGGTTTAGATGGTGGATGGAATGTATCATAGAACTAATCTATCCCCTTCATCCCCTTCTTCAGCCCCTCCCTTCAGTGCGTTGTCGAGCTTGTTCTCTTCCGCAAGACTCTGGAAATGCTGTAGAGGCGGAAAAACAAGAAGCAAACATTCTTATCATTATTATTATTATTATTATCTGTTACGATTTTCATAGTACACTATATTCACAGCGATTACAATAATATGCAATCAAACAATATAATATAGAATTCATGTATAGCAACATATCATTCTTATCATATTTGTATGTATGTCTGTACATCATAATAATAATAGTGTAAACTTATAGAGCACACACACCGTCCAGGGATGCTCATGGCGCTAGCTCGGCAGCAATTCTTAATTTGTCATATTTATTGTCATACAGTGCGTTTTCCGGTTTTCATAACACTACACTCTGATGGGGAAAACGAGTATGGTAAAACCGGTCACTCAAGATATATACTTTTAAGAGGCACTTCTTGATTATTTTGAAATGCAATTATTTTAGGACTTCACTAGTACACCATATCACAGACACTGATAACACGTAGAGCTGTGCATCTCAGATTTAAAATTGTTAAACGATGCCTTTAAAATGAATGCAAAATACTCCCCAAAATTGTATTTAGCTGGATGTAAAGTTGTGCATTTTCCTCTAGACTTACCTGTGAGTTCTTGAATTCTGAGAAGAGCGTAAAGAGCACATGCAGGGCCTGGATCTTGCTCTGGTATACTGGGATGTCCAGGATCGAACAGATCATGTCCACGTACTGACTCAGATCGCAGTCAATGTCCGCTGTAGGTAAACCCACGGTCTTCAAGAGTTCCTCAAACTCAGCAGGCCACTCCTGCATCAGGTCATCAATCTCTGGCATTGTCCTGTAGAAAAGAAATGAACAAATTCTGCTGTATTAAAGCCACACTGTCCTACTTGTAGCTACTTGCGCCCTCTATATAGCAAACAGTGCCTAATCGGTGACCATTGGTCCCCCATGATCCTCTTTTTCTTATGTTAATTGAGAGCTGAGTTGATGAGATAGACACCTGTCATTGACCATGCTGTGTGGTCTAATCCCTCCCAGCCAAACTAGTACACCCGGCCTTTAAAGTTTTCAACATTCTGTAATAACCGTCTCCATCAGCAACAGCCCTGAGCAACACGTCCTGACAGACCCTCTCCAAAAAAAAAGACCTGCCCAACAGTTTGGACCAACAACGCTCTTGCCAGTCTTGATCAACAATACTCCTAACCAAAAGCAAATTCTAAGGTATTTTCAATTCCTAGTCATGAGTACCAAACAGTCAAAATCCACCCTTTCCCCCACCTTCACCGATTAAAATTCTCTCTCTCTCTCTCTCTCTCTCTCTCTCTCCCTCTCTCTACCTCCCTCTCTCTACCTCCCTATCTCTCCCTCTCATGAATATGTATGCATCAAACCATTCCTGTTTAATGAGGGTGAAGTGGATTTAGTCTGTCACATCACACCATAGTAATACATACACTGTATGTAAGGAATTTTCTTTCAGAGAATGGGAAAAGCCTATCATTGGACTGATAAAAACCTATGAAAATATATCAATTCTACAAGCTAGGTACTTACTTTGTGTAATGCACTGTAGGTGGTGGTTTGGACCTGTGTAGATCACTGATGCTTTCTATCCAATTGTTGATTAGCTTGGGGTTCTTGCTCGCTTCCTGGATGCTCCGAACCTGGATGGGACAAACGATGGAAAAGCAGGATAAAATTTACTGTTCCGACAGTCCTCTCTATTATTCTTTCACTCAATCACTTTCTCTTTGTCTCTCCGTCTGATATGTATGATTTTGAGACCCTTGCTAAATGCTGCTATATGTTCTCTTTTCTGTGTCTTCCTACCTCCTAATTCTCACTCGTTCTCTCTCTTCCTCTACCTCCCTCTTCTCTTTTTTGTGTCTTTCTACCTCCTAATTCTCTCTCTCTCTCTCTTCCTCTCCATCCCTCTTGTATGTGTCTTCCTACCTCCTAATTCTCTCTCTCTCTCTTCCTCTCCATCCCTCTTGTATGTGTCTTCCTACCTCCTAATTCTCTCTCTCTCTCTTCCTCTCCATCCCTCTTGTATGTGTCTTCCTACCTCCTAATTCTCTCTCTCTCTCTCTTCCTCTCCATCCCTCTTGTATGTGTCTTCCTACCTCCTAATTCTCTCTCTCTCTCTTCCTCTCCATCCCTCTTGTATGTGTCTTCCTACCTCCTAATTTTCTCTCTCTCTCTTCCTCTCCATCCCTCTTGTATGTGTCTTCCTACCTCCTAATTCTCTCTCTCTCTCTTCCTCTCCATCCCTCTTGTATGTGTCTTCCTACCTCCTAATTCTCTCTCTCTCTCTTCCTCTCCATCCCTCTTGTATGTGTCTTCCTACCTCCTAATTCTCTCTCTCTCTCTCTCTTCCTCTCCATCCCTCTTGTATGTGTCTTCCTACCTCCTAATTCTCTCTCTCTCTCTTCCTCTCCATCCCTCTTGTATGTGTCTTCCTACCTCCTAATTCTCTCTCTCTCTCTTCCTCTCCATCCCTCTTGTATGTGTCTTCCTACCTCCTAATTCTCTCTCTCTCTCTTCCTCTCCATCCCTCTTGTATGTGTCTTCCTACCTCCTAATTCTCTCTCTCTCTCCCTCTCTCTCCCTCCCTCTCTCTCCCTCTCTCTCTCTTTCTCTCTCCCTCTCTCTTCTCTTTTCTGTGTCTTCCTACCTCTCTCTCTTCCCCATACCCTCTTGCAAGTCAATCAATACTTACCGTCATAGCCTTGCTCGTAGTTTGTTTAGAGATGGCCCTCAGCTGCAGGTCTAGTACTGTAGGATCAGATTGCTTGGCGCAGGGTTCATCCAGGACCGTAAGACCAAGAGATTCTTCTTCACCATCGGGTCGAGGGATCTGTCGTTGAATAAAACAGTGAAACCATAAGCTACAATGACAAGATAACAAGCATGATACAGTCAAACCTGCTTTAGTGACCACCTGTCTACAAAGGCCACATTTGTTGTTTCCCTTAAAAGGAACCTGTCTACAAAGACCACCTGTCTACGGGCCACTTTTTGTGTTTCCCTTGGGCGGTCGCTATAGACAGGTTTGACTGTATATATATATATATATCAAAAAATAATATCGCTAGTGATATTCCTTTGACAATGTATGGTCAACAAGGAATCTAAAAGATCACGACGTTTCATGCGCCGCTGCATAACTTAGTCAGGTGATAAAATATATTTCACTAGCGATATTATTTTTGATACTACATCCGCAGTGAGTAATATATTTAGCATGATAATTGAACATGTTCGTAGCCAAGGAATGATGCAAATTTAGTGGAGGATTGAAGTGCAGATGTCTATTTCTAACCATCATATTATGACCCAAAATTTATCCAAGCCATTATAATATGGTGCTTAAGCCTTCAAGGAATCCTTCCCACCAGGGAAGTGTTTCACAAAGACTAAGATCGACTTTAGTTGGACTTGAGCTATGGCAGGCTGTTCATGCCACTGGTTGCTCTCACCATTCCTGGCATTGGTTTCTCAGGGGATGTTCAAATCGTAGTCTCAAATCTATATAATTCACATTTTTTGACAGTTCATTATTGAAGGAACAAATATTATCTAAAGATCATAATTGAGAGACCAATGGTGAGAGCAACTAGTGGCATGAATGACTTCCCTAGTAGTTTTGTGTGTTGAGAAAATATATTTTTTCCCTATTTTTTCCCTATTTTTTCCCTATTTTCTGGAAATGCAGACTATTTTTTCCCTATTTCCTTCAAGAAAATAGGAAAAAAATAGGGCTATTTTTTTCCTATTTTCAAGTACAAACTATTTTTTTCACCTATATTTTTTTTCAGACAATTTTTTTCTTATTTCCTATAAAAAAACAGGAAAAAAATAGTCCTATTTTTTTCCTATTTTCAAGTACAAACTATTTTTTCCCTATTTTTTTCACCTATATTTTTTTTCAGACTATTTTTTTCCTATTTCCTTTAAGAAAACAGGAAAAAAATAGTCCTATTTTTTTCCTATTTTCAAGCACAAACAATTTTTCCCCCATTTTTTTTACCTTCAACTTTTGTGGACTATTTAATTCCTATTTTTTTAAAGAAAATAGGAAAAAAATAGTTCTATTTTTTCCTATTCTCGAGTACCAAACTATTTTTTCCCTATTTTTTCACCTTCATCTTTTTCAGACTATTTTTTGCCTATTTTCTCCAAAAAAATATGAAAAAAATAGGACTATTTTTTCCCTATTTTTTCATCTTAATCTTTTTCAGACTATTTTTTCCCTATTTTTTCACCTTTATCTTTTTCAGACTTCTTTTTACCTATTTGCGAGTACTATTTTCTTCCTATTTTTTGCACTTAAATTTTTTATGACATGATACAAATTTGTAAACTATTTTTTGTCTATTTTCTAAACTTGCATATTTTCATTGTTTATGACTGGCATCCTATTCAAAAAGCCCGCTTCTCCTGCCATTATCTCTGTTGTTCATTTTGCGACTTATTGGTGGTTTTTAGGTTTTAGCTGTGGGGTCACATATTGAATAGTGAGCTCAAAGATGACCATAAATAAACAATGTGTAAAAAGAAAATGTACGAAATTTCAATTTTGTTCCTTTATTAATATTCTTGATTTTATTTACAAATTATAGTAGTGACTAGTGCACTCAAAGATAACCATACATAAACCATGTGTAAAAAGAAAATGTACACATAGAAATTTCAACCAAAAAAAATCTCCTTTATTAATAGAAAAAAAGTATTCGATCGAGATATTCCCGTTCTATGTGTGTGCAAAGTTTCAACGTAGAGGACAGTACGCAAGTACGTAATTTGAAAATTACCCGTTATTTTTTTTCCCCACTGGCACTGCTGTACGCATCGGACTATTGCTGATTTTCGTTCATCAAACGTCTCCAAATCACACCAAAATGTCTTCCAGCAATTATTCTAGCGATGAAATTTCATCAAGAGATAGTGACTCCTCATACTCCGATGCCTCCTTATCCCATTTTAGTGATTCTTCCCAAGAAAATGAGCCCGACAAATGTTCAAAATATTACTAGTCCCATTCGTAGAGAAATGAGTTTGTTGTCGAATGACGGAACATCGACGAGCGGAACTGGCCCCAGAAAACAGCTGAAAAGGTACGTTTATTTCTGAAACTTAATTATATTATGATATATATATTTTTATTGTGTCTGTTGTTGAATATAATGCTACTTCATAGACATAGTAGGCCTATAGAATGTTATTTTACGTATCAATATTCCCATGTAGTGTTGAGCCTGAGGTTGTAACTTAGACTACAAAACTTCTGAGTGAAGTGTACGTAGGCCTAGTGCATCTCCAAGTGCAGTGTAGTGTCTGTTAGTGAATGAGTGAATGTAAACAAACGTGATTACAATAAATCCACATAGAAATTTCAGATTTTGTACCATTACTACGTCTGTCAATTATATTGCCTTGCATGATATAAATGTTTTGATGTGGTTTTAGGCTAAATTTTATCTCTCAAATTATTTTTCTAGGAATCAGAAAACACAACCTGCTAAAGCACCACGCAAGAAGAAGAGCAAGTCTTCCAAGTCCGAGAGTGCATGTGTCTGCGAGGTATGTCCTTACTAAGTAGAAATCTAAATCTATTGTTGATAATTTTTTGGGTTTATTTATTTCATGTTTGTTAGTTAAGATCTGACATCAAAATATTAGAGTAGTTTACCTCATCATTATGCTAGATTAGAACAATAATTTGCAGGTGGCACAATTTCTACCTAGATCTACATTATTTTTCTCTTTCCTTTTTATTTTTTCTTCAACAAATTGTCCCTTTACTATTTTCTTTTCTCTGTTTTATGTTTTATTTTATGTATGTTCACCCAATATATCTAAGAATAAAATAACTCTAATTAATTGCCTACCTGAGTGGTTTACATTTCATGCACCTTGACAGCTCTTTGATGACTCCGTTGTTTCACCATCCGTTCGTCGTCAGCCTGGCATCTTTTTTGCTATCATACTTTTGTACACACATGTTCTGTGCCTTTGAATTTTTCATTATGAAATACATAAATACTTGTACTAAGTATTAATTGCATGTTCATAAATGTACCAATGCATAATTATTCTAACCCCTAACTCACATTTCATTTATATCTTTACAGATCCATTGAAACTAATCAAGCTACAATGTACATGTAACGTACAACCACCATTCGATGCCTGTGAACAGCATGACCAACATCTGTATCCTTTACATTAGTATTTGTTTCCATTTTATTATGTAATTATTATGTCTAATCATTGAGATTCATAGGCAAGTACAACATGTATGTGTACACAATGAGTGCCTGCATATTGTGAAGATAAAGGACCATAAGACCATTACTTATGATACATGGTAATTAATGATGGTAGGCCTATACTTTGTAAAACTATTTGAAAATAGTAGCATGTAAGTCTGTCATTTTCTTGTTTATATATATCTCAATGACATGACATGTCATTGATTTTGTAGTAAGTGTTTCTAGATTATGATGATTGTATTAAAATTTTGATAGTTCAATTGAGATTGAGAAAATTATGTAACATGTCAACTGTACTATAGAGCATGCATGCATTGTTGAAAAATCTGTTTTATGATTTATTTTATTTTGTTATCTTTGTAAATAACGAGAAAAAAAAATTATTTGTCATGATTTTCTTGAGGTTTGAAAATGTGATTACATTATTAAGAGCACTTTGCAATTAAATTGTAATAAAAGAGACAGAAAACAACACTCTCATGTCCAGAATACTGCTTTATTTGGTTACTAATGAGGGAGAGAGCTTGTGATCGCCTGGCATATCCACATCGGCTCAGTAATAGTCCTGAAACTCACCTGAATACTTTATTTGAACAAAAATAGAAAGCTACATTCAAGGTGGATGATATTTTTTTAAGGCGGAGGCATATAGGAGACGCAGTCGCATTTGTCTTGTTCAGGGAAAAAATTAATATTTATTTTTCGGGGGCTACTTTTCAAGCTTGCCTGCATGAAAATAACATTCTAAAATCTGTTTTGCATTGAACTCTATGCAAATTTATGGGGCTCATTTCTGATTTTCGGGGGCTCTTTTGGGCATTTCGGGGGCTAAATCGCCCCGAGCCCCCGTGTATTTTTTTCACTGGTCTTGTTTTTTTTTTAGAGTAATCATAGCAAACCATGAACAACTCTATTACTACAACATGTACACTACAATACTTAACCAAAGATTGTAAATATCAGTTAAGTTCTTTTATTTATTTGCTTATATGAACACACATACTATACTAAACTCATGTCATTGTGTTTACCTCTCGAAAATAAATTACATGTATTTTATTTGACACATTCCCTTTTATTATTTTTGTTTGTTACAATCCACTGCCATTATAACGAGGTGCTCGGGACCAAGCCAATTTCCTTGTTAAAATGAAATCATGTTATACTCAAGTTACTGAACACATTGGTTTGTTTAAAATTGGGACTGATGAGAATTGCCTGATAATAAAATCTTGGTGTATCCATGTTCGTTATAATAGGAGTGGACTGTATAACATTTTCCATATACCCATTGACTATTTTAAATGTTCTACTGAATGGATTGGACTGAAAGGATGAAGTGAATTTGGCAAACTGAGTAGGTGCATCGATGCAGAGAAAAGAGCTGTAGGAGTAGGGTGACTATTCTACAGTGGAAACTTTTGACAATGAGGTCATGTGCAACCAAGAAATCTTAACCCCCAAAAGCTGTTAAATTACCTTGTCATTTCAGGTATAACTGATCTCTTTATATCAAGTTTGCACTGTATGATTTAATTGAATGTACAGAGTCGTTGACTGGATGTGTGAGATGGTAGTGCTTGAGAAATCCATGAAAGTAAAGGATGAGTGATCCCCCCCCCTATTTCCTGACTATTTTTTTCATATTTCCTTACTATTTTTTTTTCCTATTTTCTTACTATTTTCCCCTATTTTCTTACTATTTTTTTCCTATTTTCTTACTATTTGTTTTCCTATTTCCTTACTATTTTTTTCCTATTTTCTTACTATTTTCCCCTATTTTCTTACTATTTTTTTTCTATTTTCTTACTATTTTTCCCTATTTTCTTACTATTTTTTTCCTATTTTCTTACTATTTTTTTTCCTATTTCCTTACTATTTTTTCCTATTTTCTTACTATTTTTTTCCTATTTTCTTACTATTTTTTTCCTATTTCCTCACTATTTTTTTCCTATTTCCTCACTATTTTTCACTGTCCACTAGCACCTAGTTATCACTATTTTTTTACTATTTTCTTCACCATTTTCTACACTATTTTTTCCTTATTTTTTTCCTATTTTCAGGTCTGAAAAATAGGAAAAAAATAGGAAAAAAATAGAAAAAATTGTTTCAAACCTATTTTTTTCCTATTTCCAAAAGTATTTTTTCCCTATTTTTTCCTTTAAAAAAAATAGGGAAAAAATAGAAAAAAAACATATTTTCGGGACTATTTTCCCCCTATTTTTCCCCTATTTTTTCCTAATTTTTTTACGACTGGGGTTACCATAGTTCATGTCCAACTTAAGTCGATCTAATAAAAAAATAAAAAATGATCTAAAGATCATAATTGAGAGACCAATGGTGAGAGCAACTTGTGGGCATGAATGGCCTACCATAGTTCAAGTCCAACTTAAGTCGATCTTAGTCTTAGTAAAACACCCCTAGGTACCCATTATCTTCACCTGGGTGGAGAGTGGCAAATTGCATTCAAAAGATGTTCAACATTACCTTGATGAAGGCATCAATATCGCCGACAGCAGGGATGTAGTCTGGGATGAAAGGCTTGAGTTTGTGATCTAGTTCAATGGTCTGCGGTGTGTATCGGGTGATATACTGGAACAGTTCCTTGATCTCCGATGTAACGGCCAGGTTCTCGTATTCAGCAGGATCGTAAGCTCTGTATTGAAGGGTACAACCGTGGATCAACATACAGTGAATTACCTACTTTGAGGTAGGACCAGTGAGTCTACTACCCACTTATTAGTAGTCTATTCCCATTTGGTCTTCACCCAGCCCGTCTACTATCCGCATGTTCTGTTCTCCAATTAGTCTACTTCCCATTTGGTATATCGATCATTTAGTTTAATTCCCAGTTTGTCTAATGCCCATTTCGTCTACCATCCATAAGGTCTAACAATCATTACATGGCAATAAACCAAAACATCTTGATGGAAATGATAAGAAATGATAAGATTTAACACACATGTCCTTATTCTGCCATGTCACTTGAAACCCATGTTTCAAGTGACAAGAAATTGGGGGGATTGTGTTAAACTGGCCAATTGTAATCTTCGTAATATCCGTGCAATTAGGCAATATCTCTCACCTCAATCCACCCAACAGTTAGTACATGCTTTTGTTACTTCGCACCTTGATAATTGCAATTCATTACTCTTTCGGCTACCCGCCAACCAAATTAACCGATTGCAAAAAGTTCAGAATGCTGCTGCTCGCCTTGTAACTAACACCAGAAGATCATCACATATCACTCCTATCTTGAAATCTCTCCACTGGCTCCCTGTTCAACAGCGTGTGATCTATAAAATTCTACTCTTAACCTATCGTGCACTAAATGATCTAGCTCCAGAATATATTTCATCCCTTCTATCACCACACTCCGCAGGTCGTTCTGGTTTATGTTCATCACATAATATTAGACTTAAAGAAATACGTAACAAAAGAAATTGGGGGGATAGAGCATTTGCATCAGCAGCTCCTTCTTTGTGGAATAAGTTACCTTTCTCTATTCAGACGGCCAACACTCTCTCTACTTTCAAAACTGGGCTTAAAACTCACCTGATGCTCAATGCATATTGTTAAATTTCAATGTTCTTTTTTGCGAAACAAACAATAACACTGTGCCACATTGTGTGTACCTTGGCACCATGAACTTGTATGATCTAATGCAAGTTAACATTTAATATTTTTTTAATTTTAAGTATGTTGAATATTAATTTAAATTATTTATATGCGCCTTAAGCATCTCTAGAGATGGATATGTTGCGCTTTATAAATATTGTTATTATTATTATTATTATTATCGAATTCTTCCAAAATCCTTCCAAAATCGCATCGTATAGAGTGCAGTGGACAATCAGACCCCTGTTGACATTGACCCCTGTCTCTAGTCTTCATTATCCAGACTTACCCTGGGTTTTATGCAATCCTTTTTTCTTCTTCATACTCCTTAACCATTTCCCTACAGAATGCCAGGGAAAGTTTTATGAGGTTAATCTTTTATTCTACCCATACACAATTTTGTTTTCAGAAGACTTATACACTTTAATGAAAATATGTGGAGAACTTTCGTTTCAGACGGTCAATTTCCTTTGATCCTGTTGAAATGGAACACTAGTCTACATCAACCAGACTTACCCTTCTAACCTAGACCCTGCATTGTCCTCTTCATCCTCCTCATCGTCACTGGATCCAGAGTCATCATCGTCATCATCATCATCGTCGTCATCATCGTCATCATCTTCATCGGAAGCCTCCGGTCTTTGCAAAGCTAGAGGCTGCTGGGCTTGGGAAATGGGCTGCAAAAATCGATATCAAATCAAGATTAAAGGTAATACAAAGTTTTGGTTTGGGGTCATGAATTTGGTTCAAATGAACATATTGGAAGCATATGTGATCCTACAATATTCAGTGATTATTGTCCCTGTTGAAATTGAGTCTCAAGTTATGAAATTGTAAATCATAAACTCTTATAGCTCCTTCTCAAGGTCAAGATATTTATTAAGCCATTAAACAATGTTTTTTGACTAAAATTGACCGATTTGTTATTCTCGTTTGGAAATTATATATGACAAAACATATTCTGAGATTTTTATGCTCTCAGCTACCACTGTAAGGCTGTACCGGTAAGCGCTATTAGAAATTTATCCAAATATACCGGGAGCACTGGTAAGTGTTGATTTTCCATTTTTCTTGAAAGCAGAAGTGTTTTAGGAGCTAAATTTTCTAGTGTTTATAGTACATCCACAGGGGAATCCAAATATATCAAAATTGTAAAGAATCACTATCCACCCAATTTTCAAAATTTCCCAAAACTTTGTATTACCTTTAATGCTTTTCATTTTCTATTTCAACCAATCTGAAACATTTCTTTCCTTTCTGGCCTTTATTGGCAGTGAAACATTGAACTGCAGGGAGCTGTTTCACAAAGCCTTTTTCCAATGACAAATGACAATAATCAGTGACGAATCTGCTGATAACCAATCAGAAGCAGGGATTTCACTAGCTTATATAAACAAAAACTGTCATTTGTCACTGATGACAAGTTTTGTGAAATACTCCAGTGGCATTTGCTCCAAGGTGAGGATTGCATTTGGGCTTTTGGATAGCTTTAGTATGTTTTGGGGTCGCTCAGCGCGAAAAATTAATCACACAAAATTTAACAGCGTGTACTATATATCATTCTTATATATCCCATGACAGGGAAATTTTTTTTTTTTTTTTTTTTTTGGGGGGGGGGGGGGGGGGGGCTACTTAATTTTCAAGCTTGCCAGCATGAAAATAACATTCTAAACTTTGTTTTACAATGAACTCTATGCAAATTTACGGGGGTTCTATTCTGCTTTTGGGGGCATTTCGGGGGCTATTTCGCCCCAAGCCCCCATGTATATTTTTTTCACTGTCCCATGATGTGATGTGCACACATTTGAAGTACATGTGCATTCCAAGCTCTAAAGCCTTGGTTTCTACATTTCTACAGGAGGTCAAGAAATGTTAGTATGGGAGAACAACAAAAGAAATCCTTCAAGCAGAAAGAACTTCTCTCGAGGCTAAATAAGATGAACAAACTTGTCAGTTATTTGACGAGCAAAACACAACACAGCAAATTGAATTAAGTTCACCAAGGAACATCCTTGAAATGTTCATAAACGTTCATGCAGTTAATTTTGAGATAGACATCTATAAAGACCCACTCCAATGAAAATTGAACTTATACCAATGGAGGGTTGAATGGACGTAGAACAAGTTTAAAGGAATACAAAATATGTTCCTTTCAGTATTGCACAAAAGCAAATTAGAATCTCATTTTCCGCACCTCTCCATATTACGGGTCAACAGGGGTCAAATCTATATGGTAGCTGAGGCAATGAGCCGTGCTTAATTAAATGCAAAGCCATTGTGAATATGCGTACTCCACTTAAGATGATGTTATCACATCAATTTTTTAGTTTTCAGAAAGCTGTCACTCCTATGACAGACAATAAAATGGCAGATATTCTGCCAAAACAAACTTCTTAAACATCCTTCAATTTTTGTTTTGTAAATGTAATACATGTAGAAATGATAATTATCATTCAAGATAACTTTAATTTAAAAAACATGTCTACACCGTACTACAGACTCTACAATTAGCAGTTTGCTTTCTCTACAAATGGAGAAGGTAGCTTCTAATTAGTAATTCAATCAAAAAAAGCAGCATGCATGCAAAGCTGAAAAACCTAATGATTTTTAGAAAAAAAATCAATTCTAATCTGCCTCAAAATTGCTAATAATATTACAAAATTAAGATTAAGGTACACTGTATGTACTAATCTACAGAACATAGAATTCTCCACACTGATCCACACTGTATGTCGGGATTCAACACTATAAACAGGCGTGTGATACATGGGTGCCCGAAATATATGTCTGGACCCCTAAGATTTTGAAGTTGGTTGGTTGGTTATTTTATCTGACCGCTAAGAAAGCATGAGTGTTTACACTAGGGCTCATGCATACGGATTGGCAAAGGTCAATCTGGGTCCCCATTACAAAAAAAGTTAGTGAGAAGCTCTGCTTTGTGTTGAAAGAATGAACTGTGAAAAGGAACACAATTGCTTGCTTTTTGAATGATGTTAGGAGCAACACAACTATTAATTAATTGATTTATATATCCCCAAATACCTCCAGATGTGCATTCTCTTCTAGGTTAACATCAGGCGACTAGACAAAACAAAAACATACAGATACATAAAGAACGTCTCACATGATACACTACGGTACACAGTACATGACGTACATATATTTCGATCTTGTCCCAAGCTTCTCGATCCCCCCCCCCCCCCAAATTATTATGTCATACAGACTCATACCAATACCCAATAATTAAGACAAAATGCCCAAGGGAAACAAATTAATCAGGTGTCATTTATACCCTTTGTCTAACTTATTTCAATGAAAAGTATCATTTTAAAGGACACCAAAATACAGTATTTCTAGATTGGTGGTCTTTTCTAAACAGGTGGTTGCTAAAGCATGCTTTTTATCAAGTATGTGGAACTTAAGAAAGTGAAAAAAGATGTTCAATCTCCCTACAAAAATGTATCAGCAACTGAGCATGGATAATAATATACAGTCAAACCTGCTTTAGTGACCACCTGTCTAAGACCACAATTTTTGTTTCCATGGAAAACGATTTCACATTGAAACATGGACTAAAGGAACCTGTCTAGAAAGACCACTGCTTTTGTTTCCCTTGGGCAGTGGCTATAGACAAGTTTGACTGTATATGGATACCAATGCCTACTTTCATCCAGCACAAATAATTTGGTCCATTTAGACCATTTCCTCTGAAAAGAAACAAGCTCAGATCAGCTTAGCATTGGACAGCTTTGAAAGATGTTTGAAAAATTCTGATTTATAGTTCAAAGTAAAAATCTGCTTGAAAAGAAAAATAGTTCCAGAAAAAAAGTAGAAAATATGAAACTGCCTAAAGAAGAAAGACTCACTTAGGAAATTAACCAAACAAATTTGGTAAACCTCAGGGGAAAAAATTTTTACACAATTTTGGGGGCTACTTTTCAAGCTTGCTTGCATGAAAACAACAAAACTATTTATTAATTTGTTTTGTATTGAACTCTATGCGAATTTCAGGGGTTCTTTTATGACTTTCGGGGGCTCTTTTTGGCATTTTGGGGGCGAATTTGCCCCAAGCCCAAGTGTATTTTTTCCCCTGGTAAACATTGAATAATTTTGGAGTGAATTTGGGTAATTACCTTGTTCTCCATGGGCCCTGTCTCAAAGTCATCACTCTGTTCCGTCATGGCTGGTGAGATGCCTCTGTTCTGACCTGGATAAGCCAATGAAACATAACATCAGAATAGACAAGTGCCTCTTCAGGGGAGTGTTTCACAAAGACTAAGATCGACTTTATGTTTTGACTAATTTTTGCAGGGAAACTGCCTACTAATTGATATATTTGGTAAATTATCATATCGATACGGCCTGGATAGATATCCCGTAGTCCCATATACATCTTTCTGTGTACAGTACGTGTATCTTTACCAAATTTCTTATCATTTCGCTGATTCCAGAACCTTGCAGTACACACTAATACTTATAATTAAGCTAGATGATCAACCTTTTCTGATCGATTCCACAACTTTTCTGTCACTATGCAATCGCCTGATCAGGGGGGCGTTTCACAAAACTTGTGATCAGTGACAAATGACAGTTTTTGTTATAAACTTCTGAAATCCGTGCTTCTGATTGGTTATCAGCAGATTTGTCACTGATTTTCTGTAATTTGTCATTGAAAAAATGCTTTATGAAACTTTATCTTTAAACACCTGCTTCACACTCTTCAGGCTCTGAACAGACCATGTGACATGCAATAAGATTTTAATAGCGTTACCTAGCAGTCCACCTGGCAGTGCACCTGGCTGCCGAGGGCTGGGGGAGTAGAGGGATGCGACTTCTTCTGCGTCAGGAACTTCTAGCGATTCATCATAAGGTTGGTTACTCACAATTCTAGTCTGTAATATCAAAGACACAAAAAGGAACACCATCTATCACAACAGATAAAGACAACTTTCAACTACTTTTAAACAAATCCTGAGGCTGCCCAGGGCTACACGGGTAATAGAGTGATGCAACTGTTTCTGTGAAAGGAACTTGGTTATAGCGATTCATCCGAAAGTAGGTTAATTCTACTCACGATTCTAGTCTGAAATGTAAAAAATATTACAGGTAATTTTTTTGGACTCCTTTATTAGTTTATAAAAAGATCTCTGCAAATTCAGTTCATTGATTGAAAATGCAAATAGTCTAGAGGTTATCCTCGTTTTTGCAGACGATCCCTATTCTCAGACCAGCACCCCTACTGTTTTACTGATCAGTTTGATTACTATTTGACTCTCATATCATAAAAAATATTGCAGAAGCAAGCAGACTCTTATTTTATCTTGTTTTGTTGCTTGTCTTTTCTTTTTTAAATTCAACATCATGTATGAATGTGCACACAAAATGAGGCACACAAAATGAGGCACAATGCTGTCAACACATTCATTTGTCAATCCCATGGCCTGGACACTGGACATGTCAGTCAGAAGAATCATGACATTTATTATTGACAAATGACAATGTGATTAATGCCATGGCATGATGAATGAATGAAAATGACTACTATAGAATCTAGACCCTAATTTCTGAATCAATAAAGACAATAACATGTTTGATTTGGTCAACAGGAATAGCGATTCAGTATTATTGGATCTTTCCGGATTTTTAAATGAACTGACTTTGACAATATTGAATTTAAAAGCTCATCAATTGCAATCCATTTAATCTCTGCTCAGCTCAACTCAGTCCGACGAGCGACATCGCGTTGTTTAGCAACGCAACGCTCGTGCGAAATGGAGCCACAGCTTACCGCCGCCACAACGGAGCAAGTCTCTGTCTGCCCCACGCCAAGTTAAATTTGAATTTTTACGAATCTAATGAAATTCAACACAATTTCATGAATTCAGAACGTACATAGAATAAAGATGATCATAATACGACAATGACATTGGTGATAAAACAAAAGAATTGTACATACTCCTTGCTTTTCGTCGTCAGAGTCATCCGCCATCAGAGCAAGATCGCTCTTCGCTTGCAGGAATTTATCTCTCGCGAGAAACGTGTAGTCTCGTAAATTACGAGATTATGGTTTGTCGACTCTCACTGGACGCGGGGGGAGGGGGGGGGGGTATTATTATTATAATTAACTGTTTCTAAATAGGAAAAGAAATATACCGCCAACCGAATATGATACTATAAACCAGATTGAACAAGATAAATTAGATGCAAGTCAACACTTTTACGTAATTCATCAGCGCTTCACTTCAAAAAGTTTAACAAGTAGGCACTTTTATTGGTATATTGTTTTTGTTTTTATGCATTGCCTGAAATTGGGAACTAATTCGGTTATTTCCTTTTGATTTTGAGTCTATACTTTTTTGGGGGGTACTAGATGTAGCGAGACGACAAAATGGGTTAACACGAATTATTTGTAATTACGTGTATTATCTATGTGAGATGCCCTCTTACCCTCACACTCACTGTTTCTAAATTTCATAAGCCTATAGGCAATATTTGTGTTTCCCCAGAAGCGGCCCTCACGGGGAGGGGGGGGGGGGGGGGGGCAGTTCCCCAACTTGTTCAAGTACCCCAAAAGTGCCCCTTTTTATATAGAAAAAAAAAATTCCCCTTTGACTTTGTAAGACGGTGCCCCTTTTACTTTGACAAGTGCCCCTATTACTTTGATCTCTGATAAGTGCCTTTTTATTTTGCACGTGCCCCTTTTCCTACAACAAGATTCCATTTTCCTTTGCAATAAGCGTCCATTTTAACCTTTAGTAAGTGCCCCTTTTCAGCTACGGGAAGTTACTCCTTTTCATTTCAGATAAGTGACCCTTCACCTCCGATAATTGCCCCTATCCAAATCTGAGAGATGCTCATTTTATTTTGACAAGTGCCCCTTACTCTCCTGATAAATTCTCTTTTCATCTTTGATGAGTGCCCCTTTACACCTTTATTAGCTGCCCCTTTTCCTTTCTAATAAATTATCTTTTTTCCTTCTAATAAGTGCCCCTTCCCCTTCCGATAATGACCCTTTTCATCTCTGATAAGTGCCCTATTCATTTTAAAAAAAAATTCTCGTTTTCTTTTTAATAAGAGCTATTTCTGCCTTTTCATAAAAGACCCCTTTCACATACAGAAAATGCTCCTATTAAAATCTGACCCTTTTCTTTCAACAAATGCACATTTTCCTTTATTATAAGTGCCCCTTTTTTATAATCATAAGTTTCCCTTGTGATATCTGGTCAGTGCCATTTTTCAGATGCGATAAACACCCTTTGACCTCTGGTAACTTCCCTTTTAACAAGGATACGTGCCCTTCTCCTTTCTAATAAGGGACCCATACCCTTTTCATAAATGCCCCTTTTCACCTCTTACAAATGCCCCTATTAAAATCTAATGGTTGCCCCCTTTCCGTCGATAAATGCCCATTTCCCATTCTCAATGCCTTTTTTCATCCTTGATGAGTGCCTCTTTTCAAGTGTAAGGAGTGTCCCATTTTCACCTCTGATAACTACCCTTTGTACTTTGACACGTGCTCCTTTTCTTTTTTAATAAGTGTCTTTTACATTTAGATAAGGGTCCCTCTTTTCTCTCATCATCAAACGTGCCCCTAATTTAAAGGGACTAAGAACAGTTTCCCTTAAAGCTTGCTCGCCACGCACGCTCGCATTAATAGATGATATAATGTTTACTTATCAAAGGTCTGTTCAGTCTTCCGTTGTGAGAATATGCTATTACCCAATCAGGATTGTTTTTTCCTTATATGTTGCAATTTTTAGTACTGAGCCTTAACATAAAGTGACCTCTTAAATGTTTTCCTCACTCGCTCGCAAATGACTATTCAGACCATCACACCCAACTGCAAAGTATTTTGTATGATGTATAAAGAGAAACAAATAATGAAATCATCCCTGATAATGTCACCAAAATGTAGGGGTATAATAATGTCTAAAAAAATGGTAAATCTTCGGTTTGAGATTTTTCTTTGTAAGTGCCCTATTTTAGTTGGTGCCCCCCCCCCCACTTTGGAACTCGCTCGGTCGCCCTTTTGTTTTCCCCATTCAAATCAAGTAATTTGGGAGGGAGGAGGGGTTGGGAGGGGTGAGCAGTGTGGGGGTAGGAAGGGGAATACACAGGGGCGGGAGAATAGGTTTCCTGGGCAAGGTGCGGGTGGGGCAGGGAGAACTTTTTGTTATTATCTTCTTCATTCAATGTTATGATTTGTAATATATTTGTTGTTGTTGCTATTTTAATGTTTTGTTTGTAGTTATTATGACATCAAAATCAATGATTTTATATGTATTAACAGAATGTCTTTTTTTCTCGATTTGGATCCACCCATGGCAGTGGCGGATCCAGGGGGGGGGGGCCGAAACGGCCGCGGCCCCCCCCTATTGGCGGCGCAAAAAAAAGGAAGAAAAAAAAAGAGGGAAAAAAGAGGGAAAAGGGAAGAGAAAAAAGAAAGGAGAAGAGGAGAAACAAAAAAGGAGAAGAGAAAAGAAAGGAGGAGAGAAAGAAAAAAAGAAGAGAAAAGAAAAGAGAAGAGAAAAGATAACGAAATTATTGAATAGAGGGGGGCCGGGCCGGCCGCATAAAATCTCGAGCCGCGGATTCAAAGTTAAACGTTAAGAACAGCCCCTGCGCTACAAAGGTCATCACTCTTAAGTGAGAAATTTGAAAGGGCACAAGTTATATACTCAACAGTCAAATTTTAGATTAACGGTAGGGCCGCTTCACAACTCTTATATTGCCCTTCATTTGAATTCAGCTCATACCAACTCGCTTGTGCTTGTATTTGAACTCATGTTGGTAGTAATCATGGACAGGGGCGGCAATCCTGGGCCCGATAGGGGGACACGTCCCCCAGGAAATTTAGAAATATAGCTAGAAAGAAATATAGCGGAAAGAAGGTACATATTGGGCTCAGGGATTTTCTAGAATGCATAATTTCAGCATTCAACATTGCAAAATCTCGCTTGGTCGCTACGCCCCGGCCGGCCGCGGCCCTCGCCCGATAACACAAAATTGTGACGCTCCCGGCCGTGATTTATCCATGGTTGGTGTAATAGATCTTTTTTCCATTTCATTTCTACTAACCTAATTGTGTGCCATCACAATCCTGATTGTTTCATTTTCCCTTTAAAGCAGGCACGTAGCCAGGGGCGGTAGGGGCAGTAAGATGACATAGGACGAAAAAGGAGCAGACAAAGAAACATTTTTGAAAATTCTGACAAGTCGAGAACGGTACAACGAATCGTCTTCTTTCTCTAATAATTTAATGAAATGTCAAAGCTTTCGCGCATCGCTCGGGAGGGGGCAACTGAATTCAGACAAGGATTGGGAGTCGAGAATGGTAAAACGAATCGTCTTCTTTGTCTAATAGTTTAATGAAACGTCAGAAGTTTACGCGCTACGCGCGGGCCGGGAAAAACTGAATTCATACAAGGATTTAGAGTCGAGAATGGAACAACGAATCGTCTTCTTTCTATAATAATTTAATGAAACGTCAACGTGATTCGCGCGGAAGGGCGGGGGGGGGGGGGGGGGGGGGGGAGGTGGCTGAATTCAGTCAAGTTATAAGAGTCGAGAATGGTACAACAAATCTTCTTTCTCTAATAATTAATGAAAGGTCAAAGCTTCCGCGCTTTGCGCGGGCGGGAGGAAATTGAATTCATACAAGGATTAAGAGTCGAGAATGGTACAACGAATCGTCTTCTTTCTCTAATAATTTAATGAAACGTCAAAGCTTCCGCGTTTCGCGCGGGAGGGGGGGGGGGGGAACTGCATTCAAACAAGGATTAAGAGTCGAGAATGTTACAACGAATCGTCTTCTTTCTCTAATAATTTAATGAAACGTCAAAGCTTCCTGAAAACTGATTTCAGACAAGGATTAGGAGTCTAGAACGGTACAACGAATCATCTTTTTTCTCTAATAATTTCAATTTAACCTATAAAAGTTCAAAGCTTCCGCGCTTTGCGCGGGAGGGGGGGGGGGGATTCAGACAAGGAATACGAGTCGAGAATGGTACAACAAATCGTGTTCCTTCTCTAATAATTTAATGAAACGTCAAAGCTTCCGCGCTTTGCGCGGGAGGGAGAAACTGAATTCAGACAAGGACTACGAGTCGAGAAAGGTAAAACAAACCGTCTTCCTTCTCTAATAATTTAATGAAACGTCAAAGCTTCCGCGCTTCGCGCGGGAGGGGGAAAACTGATTTCAGACAAGGATTAAGAGTCTAGAACGGTACAACAAATCGTCTTCCTTATCTAATAATTTAATGAAACGTCAAAGCTTCCGCGCTTCGCGCGGGAGGGAGAAACTGAATTCAGACAAGGATTAACAGTCTAGAACGGTACAACGAATAGTCTTCTTTCTCTAATAATTTAATGAAACGTCAAAGCTTCCGCGCTTCGCGCGGGAGGGAGAAACTGAATTCAGACAAGGATTAAGAGTCTAAAACGGTACAACGAATAGTCTTCTTTCTCTAATAATTTAATGAAACGTCAAAGCTTCCGCGCTTCGCGCGAGAGGGGGAAAACTGAATTCAGACAAGGATTAAGAGTCTAGAACGGAACAACAAATCGTCTTCCTTCTCTAATAATTTAATGAAACGTCAAAGCTTCAAAGGGAGAAACTGAATTTAGACAAGGATCAAGAGTCTAGAATGGTACAACGAATTACCTTTCTCTAATAATTCAATTTAAACTATAAAAGGTCAAAGCTTCCGCGCTTTGCGCGGGTGAGGGAAAACTGAATTCAGACAAGGAATTCTAGTCGAGAATGGTACAACAAATCGTCTTCTTTCTCTAATAATTTAATGAAACGTCAAAGCTTCCGCGCTTTGCGCGGGAGGGGGAAAACTGAATTCAGACAAGGATTAAGAGTCTAGAACGGTACAACGAAAAGTCTTCTATCTCTAATAATTTAATGAAACGTCAAAGCTTCCGCGCTTCGCGCGGGAGGCGGAAAACTGAATTCAGACAAGGAATACGAGTCGAGAACGGTAAAACAAATCGTCTTCTTTCTCTAATAATTAATGAAAGGGCAAAGCTT